CTCAGCAGGAGCATGATATTGCTTATGCAGTGAGAGTTGTAAGCATATGTAAGAGTAACCCAGAAAAGAGTTTGGTGGTACAAGACTACGTTGACAGTGACAAGTCAACTAAAGGTGTTACTCATGAGAAGCTGAAGTTATGCTCAACTTCAGCTGGTCTTTTGGCATTAAGACCAGAGTTTTGAGTTGCAGAGATGGACGATATCATGTTTGAGGAAAAGGTCGGTACAGCTAGTAGATGATGCAACCAGTAGATGATGCAACCAGTAGATGATGCAACCAGTAGATGATGCAACCAGTAGATGATGCAACCAGTAGATGATGCAACCAGTAGATGATGCAACCAGTAGATGATGCAGTCAATATCCCAGTCTTCAAGTGGGAGAATTGGTGGATAATGTGGAGATTCGGTCCACCACAATTTGATTAGCTTCTTAATTAAGAATCACATCTACCGCTCAACTACCGCCCACATACCTCCCACCTACCGCTCTCCTAGTTTCTATAAATAGTCTCTTGACTTGTCATTGAGTATGAAGCCAGACAAAGTCAAGTCCTCTAAGAGAAAAAAAGATGAAGAGAAAGAGAGAAAAAGAGAGAGAAGAAAATAGAGATTTTCTTGTAAATGTCGAGACGCTCGACGGTGTAATTCCTCGAAGAAATAAAATCCTCCGTAGCTCCGTGGACGTAGGCAAATTTGTCGAACCACGTAAATCTGTGTCGTTCTGGTGTTTTTCTGCATGCAATTTTTATCATTTCATTTTTCGTTTTATTGTCGTCATTTTTTCACAACATTTATTTTTATCTCGGAATAGTAATTAGGAACCAATTAGTTGTAATATTGGAGATGTAGGTGATTTGTTTTCCTATTTTGTCTTTCCTTTTATGTCTAGGTAGTTGTTAGGAAATACATAAAATATAAAAGACATAAAATAATAAATAACAGGAAATGAATTAAATCAATTCCTAATAACTTCAAACAAATTTGTTTGTGCATCTCATTCTAAAGTTGTGATTATATCATTATTAACCATTGCAGCAAGGCCTTCATCCTTGCAGCTATAACCTCTTTGCAGATACTCTCACTGCGTATTTTTGTAATACAGTAGAAAATATTTCAGAATTTGTATTCCATACAAATCCAAATCAGCAGTTTGGTTTAAATAGAGATCACAGTTAACATGAGAGCTATCTAGATCACAATAAAAAGATCTTTTACAACAACGTTGTATCTGATCAGTCCCAATAAAATTATTTCACTGTAAATTAGCATAATAAGACAACAATCAACCTATATTATACCACGCAAAAATTCAAGTATGCTTAAACATTAAAAAAAGAGGAAACATTATGTCTCACCCATATAATCCAACCTTTCATCTGAGATCAATCCATCCTTTTGCTGAGACTGACTGCATTATCAATTATAATAATAAAAAAAAGGAATAAAATTTCCATTATCAAGTCCAATCAATAGAATGAAGAACTAAATAATTGTTAGCCATTTAAAGAACAACAACATAATTATATTTGCTTATGCAGATGTCTTCACCAACAAAATTTAAAAAAAAATGGCTAAAAGAAGCACCTTAACTTAATCTTGTCAACCAAAGCAACTGCTATGTATTGGCCTGAAGAAATAAGAGCAGCAATTTCTACTCCACTAATAGACCTGCACTGTAGAACGTTCCGAATTTATTAAGATAGCGAATGAGATTTGCAGAAATTCACAAATTAACCGTAGAATTAAGCAAAATGATGATATTATCTGCAAAACCAAGTCAAGCAGTGTAAAAGATGCACACCGCTATCGAGATCCCAGTTTCGAGTGCCTTCTGGAATAGTCCATCTACTCGCCTGAGGTCATCCTGCAGTTGTTCCTGCATGCGTTCGGGCAAACCACAAAGGTTTTATGACATTTTGCAGATGATATATAAAGAAGGTAATCAAAAGAGGAATACAACAAAAAATATAAAGGGGCACTTACATACATACCACACAATTCTTATCTGTTTAAATATCTAACACCTAAACATTCATATTTACATGCCTACCACTCAAATTTTTAACATCACATCAACAATACCACCATCACTATCTTTTGAAAAGTGAAATGAATCTTTTCAGCATTGGTTTATGACACAAAGGTGTCATAAGTGTAGGTGTGTCATAAGTGTAAATATCAAACTTTGGGTGTTAGATATGTAAATACAAAAGAATGGTAGGGTATGTATGAAAATTTCCCAAAATATAAACGCTGAGCTCATAAGACAACAAACCCCACATAACATTCCGCAAGCTATGAAAAGAATTTTGACCAGTTAGTAATGGCATAACGGTGGCGTAGGTCCTGACTACTGAATGTACTTGTTAATCATTATCATCTCCCATCAGATGTGAGAGAATAAAGGAGTAAATGATGAGGGGTCTCACACAGAAGGAAACTTAGAGGAGTGGTGCAGATAATTCCATTTCACATAGGAAAGAGAGAGACAGAGGGTGTAACAGACATTGAAACCATGCCTTATGTGAAAGCGAGAGAGACTGCAAGGGGAGAGAGCAACTGGAACTTTTGGATACTTCATTAGGAAATCTAAGGTGGAGAAGGAAAACTATAGGAGAAAGCCAAGAGAATAGTAGAAATATGAGGATTTCTAAACGTCAAAGCATCTCCAAATATACAATTGAAACTCAAAAACTATACATATCTATTAATCCAAACTGAAATTTAATTCTATCATCTAATGAAAATTTAAAACGCAGATAATCCAACAGAATCATTTTTATATAGTTTAAATAAAATCCCTTATTAAATAAATATAATTTAAAATTCACTAATTGGTTTTATGTGGGTTTATTTATGCTACGGTAGCAATTAGTTTTAATTTGGGTACACAAAGAACTTGTCTTTGGAGAGTGATAATTTTGGTACCCGTCAAGTAGACTTTGCAACATTTCATAAACTATACATGTGTGATCCAATAATCTTCAGTGGTAGGTTGATTCTTCCAAAGAATTAATTATTTGCGCATTTCAAAAACACATGGTGATTTCACCAATTATAATATATTTCGCCTTGCTAGCTTATGCAAGAATGAAAGTGGAAACAAAGGGATACCCACATTACTAGCAGTAAGTAGAAGCTTCATCTACAAAAACACTACCTGTAGGTAGAAAATGCTCAAATCTATTGCAATATGGTACTATATCTTTAATCTTATACACATGACTAACAAATTGTTGAGGCAAATCAATCAAATAAGCATTCAAATCAAAGCTTATAAGAATTTTGTTAAGGATCAAAAGATCTTATCTGAAGCTTTTTAAATATTGAGGGCACATTTAAGATAATTCTAGCTAGCACAAAAGCCTCTTTATTAAATTCTTTCACTCTTTGACAAACATCAGCTACAGCTTTGTATTTCTCATTTTCCTAAATAATTCATAAATGGGTCTGCATGAGATGCGGCGGATTGAAAATATAGTGTATTTGGATAATGATATGAGATCAATCAGCATTAATCTAAGGTGTATACCATAAAAATTTCCAAAAGAAATTTTCTTCGAAGTACAATACACAAAACTATTATAAGAAAACCGTATAGCTGGAAGAATTAGACCCCACATGCCTAAACCATCACCAAGCAGACATCTTCATAGATAACCAGAATTCCATGATTCCTATTAGTACATTGTTGAGATTTGGAATAGAACAACTTACTTTTATTGATAGGAGGAGGAGTATTTAAATCCAATTACAACAGGCATAATAATAGAAAACAATAAAAACAGAATAAAATAACTAGGAAAAAAAATAAAACAGAATAAAGTGAAAAAGGAAATACATAATCAGAAAATAAAATCAAATATTAAATAATAATGACATAGGCCGTTATAATTTAATAGTCCCCCTCAAATTGAAGCATAGATGTCAATCATGTTCAACTTGGATTTGAAGTCATTGAACAAAGGGCAAGGCAGATTCTTGGTGAGGATTTCTGCTAGTTGACCACTGTATGACACATATGAAACATAAATCTTCCCAGACTCACTCTTCTTTCCCTTTATGAAGTCTCTGACAATCTCCACATGTTTAGTACGATCATGCTGGACTGAGTTGTGTGAAATGTTGATGGTTGTCTTATTATCACAGAATAGCTGCAATAGAATAGAGATTGACATACGGAGTTCACGGAACATGATACGTAACCAGAAAGCTTCACAAATTTCTAAGGATATGAATCGGAATTCAGCTACAGCACTGCTTCGGGCTAATATAGACTGTTTTTCTTTTCCACGTGACAAGATTGCCCCATATAAATGAGCAATATCCCGACATGGAACACAATTAGTATCTGTATAAACAATTATAGACCAAGAGAGACCAAGAGTGGCAGGAAAAGAACAAACCTGAGTCCAGTGTACTTTTTAAATAGTGAAGAATCCGGTGGACAAATTGGTGCTCGTAGGGAGCATGCATGAATTGACCCACTATTCTAACTGCGTGGCATATGTTGGGGTGAATATGAGCCAGATAGATGAGTTTTCTCACAAGACGTCGGTAATGAGTTTTGTTGACAAATACAACATTAGAATGTCAGTTAATATTTTTTTTATTTGGATCTATAGGAACAATAACAGGTAATTTGCACAGAAGAATATTATTCTCTTTCAGGAGATCAATCATATATTTATGCTGAGACAAGCAAATTCCCTACAAGGACCAGACCACTTCCATGAGTTTACCGGAGAGATCTCAAATCTTTCATCTCAATGGACGAAGCAAGAATGTCGTTTAAGAACTTCAACGCTAGGAGATCATTACCTGTAAGAGCAATATCGTCAACATAAAAAATAAGGATTGCTAACTGGCCATTGGAGGAGTGTCGAAAGAAGGGGTGTGATACGATTGAGTCGATCTTGAGTAAAACCATGACCCACGACCACCTTTGTGAACTTGCCAGACCAGGCCTTTGGGGACTGTTTTAGCCCGAAAAGGGACTTTCATAATCTGCACGCTGATCCTCTGAAGGCAATAGAATCAAAACCCGGAGGGAGAGAAATGCATGCTTCTGCTGTCAGCTCAACATTGAAGAATGTGTTCTTGACATAAAGTTGGAATAAAGGTCAATCCATATTCACCGCAAGTAACAACAGGACCCGAATAGTGTTTAACTTAGTCACTGAAGCAAATGTCTCATCATAGTCAACTATGTAAGTCAGTGAGTATCCTTTAACGACCAATCTTGTCTTGTTACGTTCAAAGGATCTATCAGAGTTAAACTTGGAGTTAAAAATCCATCGGACCCAGCAGCTTTCTTACCTCGAGTAAGGTCCACGACATCCCACGTATAGTTTCGCTGAAGGGGATTCATCTCCTTTATTACTGTCATTTTTCAGGCTGGATCAACAAGATTGACCTCAATAGTAGCAGAGATCTGATGATCCCTTCAGAGTAGTAGCAAATGATCTGTAAGTCGACGATAAATTATGGAAAAACACATATTTTGCCATTGAATAGAGGAAGCATGTCTAATTGTGTGTCTTACTTGAAGAATTCACTTCCTCATTTGGAGGAAGGGTTATGTTAAGTATGTTGCTCAGGGTGGAGTCAAAGTCCTGTAAGGAGGTAGCGGGCTCCTGAGTTGGAGCATTGGGACGGATGCGCTGAGTGTAGAGACAGACAGTGGGAGGAGAAAATGGTGCACTCAAGGGGACAAAGAACTCCTCAATGGTGGGAACAATGGGAGGACCATCCATAGGAGTAGTATGAAAGAGTCTCGGGGAAATCAAGCTCCCTCTCATTTGAGGTCCAGTTAGAAAAATAGGGAACAATTTAAAAGGAGACATCAACACTCACATAGATTTTGTCCGTGGTCGGATCAAGGCATCGATATCCCTTTTGAGTTGCGAATTATCCAAGAAATTTACATGTTATAGATCTGAGATCAAATTTATTCCAAGTAGGGGCAACGCTAAGAATAAAGGTAGTGCATCTAAAAATTTTGGGATCTAAAGTAGAGAAAACACGATTGACAAGAAAGCATGGCATCAGAACGGCTAAGGAGGTTCATAATTTGTGAATTTTGGAGGGGACTTTATTTATGAGTCAGGTAGAAACTAGAATGACATCATTCCAAAAATGTTTCGGGACATTAGACTGAAACATGATGGAGTGAGCAACATTGAGGAGATGACGGTTTTTTTCTCTCGACAACCCCATTTGGTTGAGTGTTCGTCCAAGAACTATGGTGGATGATGTCTTACCAAGAATTCACTCAAAATAGAATTGATAAACTCAAAGCGATTGTCAGTCAGAAAAACTTGAATAGAAGTTTTGAATTGAGTTAAGATAAAGGTGTAGAATTTTTGGAATGTCATATAACTTCTAATTTGTCTTTTAAAATGTAGACCGGCGTTATTCAAGTATGATCATCAATTAAGGTCAAGAACCACCGTTTATTGGTGTAGTTGGGAGTGCGAGAATGTCCCCATATGTCACTATGGATGAGGGATAAAGAAGCGGAAGGTGCTTAAGTGTGAGGTGGGTAATTGACCAGGTGATGTTTGACTAACTAACATGTCTCACAAATAAAGTTAGAAAGATTTTTATTAGAAAACATCAGACGATACAAAATTTTCAAATATTGAAAGCTAAGATGACCTAAACGACAATATAATAATATAATAAAGCATTCAATGACTCAAGATAGTCTACAACTTTTGAGTGTCGTGTCTTCACTCTCTGTGTTGTTCTCTTAGAAGTAGTGGAGTCCAGTTTCTCTCTTAGCAGTTTCAATCATCCTCTCCGAACGACGATCCTGAAAAACAACAATCATAAGAGAAATTAGAAAAACGATCGATATCACTTGTCAACTTT